CAAAGAGGAAATAAAGAGGAGACGCACCAAAATGTCTGTTTTTTCACCTGTCCGGGGGAAAAAGTGCGGATTTCCCCATTTTTGTCGCTCCGTCTCTCAAATTTCGCTGAATAGTCTGTAGGATCCAAACTACGGTTTGGATGTTGAAGAATAGCCTCCCGTGACTTTAGACACGCGCCCTTTCCCGTCGAAATCAGAACAAGTAATCGGGTAACTAGCGGTTCTATAATTCATAATAAATTTAATGTAAATCATTACCTAAACAAATATTATCATCCGGCTATTCAACCAATGATTGTTCAATCAATTAAATTTAAATTACAATAAATAAAGAAGTTGATAGAAGATGAGGAAAAATTACCAATCACAACAAATTAACGTTGTTCTATCCTGACTGGATAGATCACACACAATAGGAGGAACAAATCAATATGGCTACCGCAAAGAATAAGTGTCAAGTAAAACAACGCAGATGCAGTTCAGGAAGAAACACAAACTTAGTGAATGCGTAATAAAAACAAAAACTATAACAAAAATACAAATATTAACAATTCAAATGTAATCAAAATACAACAATGTACAACTAATGTGATCAGTAGGAATAAAGTACAAGTATATACATGGAGGGATTTTCACCAACACACAACACATTCAAAATGGATCTTACGTTGTCAATTTTTAACCTAAAAATACGCCAAATTGTCTAATTTTCGCCTAAATACACATCGGATCTTCTTTTTTGTCTAAATATACGCCGAACTGTCTACTTTTATTCCAACTTTTGAAACCTCAAAGGTCTTCCATCTTCGCCTTTATTCCTACAACAAGCCACACCAAAACGACAATCCACGGGAAAAATGGTATATGTTTAAATAGGTTTTTTGAAAAGGAAAAGTGTTTTATTATACAACGTTATAGCAGACGCTTGAGCATCAGTCGTTATGCATTTTCATTGTAATTGCCAATCCATTGTTATTTGAAAAGATCTGCAAAAGAAGAAACATGTGATGTATTATTAATAAGGCATGTGTATTTAATTGCAAGTTCACTGAAAATCAAACACACTGTCTCAACACTTAAATAGTTTCCCATGCAAGCAAGAAGGTCAGCTAATTTTCAAAATAATGTTTATTGAAAAATAAGTTGAACATAAAAAACATTCCACAGATTAGTTTTTTAGCCACGCTTGTTCGGCTATTGAGAATTAAAATAATCTTCTTGTGAATTCTTAAGTGTAAAGAATAAAAGAAGCAACAACGACATCTGAATGACATGCTTTGGCACATCCAGATACTTGAAGCTTCACTTACGGTTATGTTCGTTAACACCGCCGACTGTAAATATAGAGCAGTAGGGAAGTTATCACTTTAAATTAGTACATACCTGTTGTTTCCTTCGATTACGCTTTATTAATTTATCCCAGATGTCGTGAAAATAACCTTGTTTCGCGAGATCGTACAGTTTCTCAAAGTCTTTTTCGTTCACAGATGATGACAAAAAGCAATCGGTTGATGCACCTGAAGTTTAAATAATAGATATAGGCTACTTCATATGCAGCCGTAAAGCCAGCATTTCTGAAGCGCTCGTTCTAACGAAGTGCCAAATAACGTGAAATTACTGACAACCCCGGGTGTCTTGAGGTACGACAAAACATATCGCATTGGGGTTTAGGACAGCGTAAGATATGCTTAACAACAATAATAATAATATATGTGTGTTGAAATAGAGTATTTTCGGTAATTATGTTTTCAGCGTTCAAGACCGTGTGTTTAGGAACCACTACCACTACACTACTCTCCAACCAGAATCAAAGTGAAGTGGGTTCGACACCGAGTCCAGTTGGATTGTCGTGCGCCGGAGGTTAGCAAAAGAATGACAAAAGTCCCCCGGGTATTAATAAGCTGAAAGATAAATCAAAAAGAAGTCAGCAGCAACTGATAGGGAAATATATGTGGTGGTTTTAGAAATGTTCGGTTTAATTCTTAACATGCTTAAAATGAAAGTCTACGTGAAAATTATTTCACAGTCAGACAAAGCGGGATTATAATAATTAACAATGATTTCGCGGTAAGATGCGTAGCAAAAGCTTAACTTATGGCAGTATAAGTATTTTGAGCTAAGGAATAAGAAAAAATCAATATGACAGAAATGTTGATCTTGATATCATTTCTGGTTTAAATTATAAAGTCAGCTAACGTTTTTGTTGGCATACTGGCCGTATGAGTTGACTTCCGATTGCATGTGCATTAGTAGGCTTACTGAATGAACAAAAGTATTACCGCGGAAAGGAAGAATTCCAGTAAGCTTGGTAAGTCTAGTGCGGTTTATTTAGTTGCAGGGAGACTTTCTGTATCTTCATAAAACTACTAATAAATATGAATGGTTATCAAAAACTCCTTTTAATGCGTAAAAGGTGATAATTATATGAATTTTAGAGAGATAACTTGATCCGTCGTGAAACATTTACAGCTGAGAGTGAAGCTTTAGGCTGCCGGTAAAATCGTTCTACACGGTTTAGACAAGTTAAGAGGTAAGAATATCCATTTGACTCTGGTAAGAATCAACCAAATCCAGATGAACATGGCCGAAACGGACGTCTGGAGTTTTGAATGAGCCCAAAGACATTTGTTGTGTCTAATCACCTTAGATTACTGAAAGCTTACACAGGAGTACGTCAACTCCATGTATTCGTTCATATCAGGACAACAAGACCGTTCTGCTATGAGCTTGATGGTTGTCCAAACAACTAGATGAGAATGTGTGCGTAACGTATTGAAGACGTCGAGTCGGCGATAACTGGTGCTGAAGATCAGTGTCTTTTTTTGAGGCTGAGCACGTTTGAGGAGTTCGGTTTCTTTGGAAACCGTTTGAGGATGTTGCATGAGACAGGGCTTCTGAGACTACCATGTCCTCCACGGAAATGTGTTGCGTATCTGAAGTAAACTGCAAAATGTAGTCCAGTTGTCGAGACGTTAGAGAGCAGTACTTGTTTGGAGACGAGCTCAGAGAGAAGGTGTGAGATTTGAGGTCGGTGATCAGAGTGAATTCTCGACCTCCAAAAGATTTTCGAAAGTACCGTACGGCACAATACATGGTTAGGAATTCTCTGCTGAAAGTGTTGTACCTCGTTTCAGTGTCTATCGACCGCCTCGATAAGCAAGATATAGGTTGCTGGCTGTTGTTTACTCATCGTTGTAAGACTCCTCCGATTGCTCAGTCAGACGTGTCTACCGCGGTACTAGTGGGTGGTTTTATGCCACGGTGGTGTGAGCATAGTTGCTACAGCGAGAATACCTCTTGGACGTTATCGTCCAAATTGATGGGTTCTGCATTTCCACAAAGTTGGTTGGTTAAGGGTCTCATGAGGGACGCGCAATTTCGTATAAACTGTCTATAAAAACTTACCAGGCCGTTAAACGTACGTACTTGTTTGAGTGTGGTCAGTTTTGGGTAATCCAGAATGACCGGAACTTTGATTTTTAAAAGGCGAATGCATTGAGCATCAGTGGTTTGTCCGAGAAAATCTAGGAAGCCGGTGGCATTTCCTAATGTTTACAGTAGTACCATATGTTGGGAGTCGTTCGAAAACAAGTTCCAGATGCTGTAAATGAGATTCTCTGTTCGGACTTGCAATCCAGCAGTCATTTACATAGGCATGTACAAATTTGAGACTCCTGAATACGTCATTGATGAATCTTTTGAAAGTTTGTGAATCATTTCTTGAGCCCAAAGTCATGCACAAAAGTTCGTAGAGTCTGAACGGGGTGGTAATAGCTGTTTTAGGGATATCGTCTACTGTTAATTGGAAGTAGAACGATTTTCGGAAAAACAATTGTATTTTTTAAAGTAGCTGTCAAATAGTGAATGTCCAGCATCGATTAACATTCAAGAGTGGTTTTCGTATTCAGTCACCGATTATCACCAGTTGGACACCAATCGTTGCTGTTCCTTTTAGGGACCATGTTCAAGGGAGATGCTCATAGGCTGTTTGACGGCCGGATGATTTCTAAGTCGATCATATGGTCGAGTTCGCTTTTAGTCAACCTCAGCTTTTCAAGAAATAGTCGGAGCACTTTCGAGAATACAGATGATCCTGCAGTCATGATGTGCTGTGCAACATTTCTGGTTACACACTGTAGTTCTAATCGCGTTTCGTGAAGCTCAAGTACTTTTCAAGTACCCATTGATAACACGGGTCGATTGTGTTCTTAAGAAAGACTAAGGACAGTCTACAAACAGAAAAGAAAGTCACACAAACAGATAACATAGTATTTCCGCCCACCAACTCCCGTTTGCGCGTATCGATTAGTAAATTATGATGTAGCAGGTCTATACCGATAAAGCGACATAGAAACATCTGCAACAACGAGAATCCAGGAAATGCGTTTGCGTAAACCAACGTTAAGATAAACATATCACTTACCATACATGGCAATCGCTTTTCAGTTTCCTGCCTGTAAGTTGAAAACTGGTTTGCTGGAAGACAGGTTAATTCTGCGCCAGTATCGAAGAGGTAGCGAATTTTCGCCATAACATCAGCGATGTATAACAGAAGGCTATGTTGCCCGTCTACAGTAGGCACTAACATGTGCTGGAAGGGAAGTTTCCTAAAACGTTTCTCGTGTCGAGTGGTTTATTCCGGCCAGAACCATTTTAACCATTCGGAGCTACAAACCGCTTAATGAAATAATGGCACATGGTACGTCATCGCTTTTCTTTTGTTCTAAAATAGAGAAGTTACGAGGACACTTAAAAAAATTCACGAGTCCAGGACAAATTACTTGTCAGCTGAACCTCGACTTTAAAGTCGAGGTTCCATAGAATCATCGATGAATGGAATTCACTACCTCAACACGTGATTGAAGTTCCATTTATGTACGCTTTCAAGAGAAAGTTTGATAAACTGAGAGATCACCATTACCAGGACTGACGCGGGCCACATAGGCCCCTATTCTTTCCGAACTGAAACTGATTACGTTTAAGGCTTAGCGCTCTTTCAAATGACAGTACAATATAACCAACTTGTTCTCACTGGGGGTCCAGGTGTATTTTTCAAATTGCTATTGAAGTAAAGCTTATGGTTTGAAATTACTTTCTAGATGGAGAGGATGTATTTTCAAACTGATCTACATCGATGTTATTGTTTTCATGACTTTATACGCATTAATCACTTGTGTATACCGTTTCGCTCTGTCGGTTGAGTGGCAAAGGTTTGATTTCTCTTTTAAGTATCTAAATACATCCAGAACCTTTGAAGATATTATAATATTTACCAGGAGCTTTCAAGGTTTAATCCCAGTTTCTTTCATTCTTGGTTTCTATATCGATAACGTCTTTACAAGGTTTTGGAGACTATTCATGACCATCCCATGGGTGCTTAAGTTCGCCATTTCAATTTCTGGTCATCTTTCTGGAAACTCTGAGCGTGCTCGTTTAATGCGACGAACGTGCTTTCGGTACATGATGTCAAGCCTAATAATGACCTCTACACGTCTCAACTTAATTGCCAAGAAGCGTTTCCCTACACCAGAATTCTTCGTCGCAGCAGGTGCGGTTATTAAGCCTTTGAGTTAGGCTTTATTTATGAGAGTTATAGTGTTAACAGTATTATTGCATATTAATATTGCGAACCCTGAGGTGATCGATAAATGTACCAGTTTCTATGCTACGTTTAACTGACTGATTGGTCGAGAAGTGAGTTACTGTAAAGAAAGATTTGTGAAATACGATTATTAATTTCATTCCGAGGTTTATTAACAGCTTGAAAGAGCCCTAAATTACAAACGATAAAAATTAGAAACAGGTTTTCCGTATACTCCGCTAATAATCTACTGTGGTCTGTTTGGAGCTGACGAGCAGCCTTGTAGGATGAATTATTTTATCATCGTAACTTTGATTTTCTTTCTTTTAGATTTATCAAGGGGTCAAGCTTTATGAGTTTTAGACAAAGATGATCTGTGTTGGTGGTGGAAATTATATTGAGATAAAAAATCACTTAAAATAAATAAAAATGCATTAGTCCATATGGGATTCAACATTTTTATGTGAATAATCTGACACCTCATTTCTCAGTCTAATTATTGGTTTGTCGGAAATTTGATGCTCGAATTCTCCTAACCGTGGTTAAATTTGTTCTTTAGTCCGTAAATTATTGTGATATAGGGTGTATATCACCTCAATGTACCATGATTAGTGTACCACCATTGTGAATTAGCAATATCGAATTTATACAGTTCTCAAATTCTTCAGTTTTCACAAGCTTAGTCTCCTAACTCTTCGTGAACTAGATTTAAATAATTTGCTTTCGTTCGTCAGTTGCAACATGTGATCCATTTCTTTTAAATGTAGTCGAATAATTTGTTGTATATACCTGGTGGTTGTTTTGTTTTCAAGCCTGTTTCTTTTACTCCGATTCCGTAGTTCATTGGAAAGCACTATTCCATATATGACTATTGTTGTTGATTAAGAAAGTGTCAGAAGTGCTGTTTTGCATTTCCTGATTGTTTAAATGACTAAGAAATAACTATGAATGTATATAATCGTTTTCCAAAAATATAGTCTGAGAACTGTTCGATATTAGAGTTCTGTTCCTTCATTTAGGAATACTTACAGAAGAAGAGTTGGACATAATTATGAGTGTTAGTCCCATTCATGTCCAACCGTTTGTTCCAATAGTATGGACTACTTCCCTCGTCACTCTCGCCGGAAAAGAAGGCTTTATTACTAATCATCATGCTTTGGTGTCCATCATTGATGTAAGTTGTTTCCAGTTAAAGCAGATTCCATGTACAAAAAGTGTATGCATAAATCATTAAACCTAAAAATTGGCTTTTATGCACATTTCTTGAAAGTATTTATTTGTATAGAGTATGCGAATCTTAGGAAAATCTCTGTAAATACCTAGTCAACACAAAGTACCTCGATCACTAGTCTATATGTTTCTCCGCCGTTTTCGTAATCCAAGGCTTGTGCTGTCTTGTATCATGTTTTTAGGTCTTCAACATCTCACGTAGACCTTACACACGGCCTTTTATAAAAAGTTTTCATTGTTAGCTCCGTATTTCAAAAGACCTAACCTCCAGCAGTGAAAGTGAAATTGTGAAAGCGTGAAGTTTCTACGGCCAACCTTTTCTTACTGCTTCTGTTATGACGAGGCAACATCGGCGTAGAGGGTGATTATATGAGGCGAACATCTTACTACCGTCACATTCCAGTATAGTCAGCAGCACGACCTTGCCCTCGGGACTTCAGTTACTGCTTTTAGTCTCACCGTCCCATAACTGACCTCTCTAACGTGATAGTGTGGTGTGTGCTACTGATGTTGACAGATATAAGTAGTATGTATCATCAATTGAGAGTGAAATTCCTGGAGACAGAAGGTTAAGAAGATAAAAAAAGAGAACAAGAACAAAGGTTGATTGGTGCGGAAACGAAAAAACAATAAAGTCTGAGACGATTGATTGACATTTTGCAAATAAAGTATTTACTGTATGGTTCTCAGATTTTACTAAGATGTTCTGTAATTTTGTGTTCATATACATAAGATTGTCCCCACTTGTGTTCTCGTTTACTACAGTAGGACCTAAAGTATTTTAGACAATATAGCTCGACCGGGTCACATGGTATACAAACCTAAAAGTAGCAATTACAGTCGGGACAAAATCAGTATAGCAATAATAAAACTCATGAGTGATTATATTATTATGGAACCTTTATGCACAATAAATTCACTACTTCTGGCTCATTTGTATGCGAAATGGAGATAGTTAATGGTTTCCATTTACGAATTTAATAGTATCTCAAACAAGTAAGTTTTCAAACTCAGTTAAACCTATTTATTAGATAGATTTACGGGATACATTTTGAGTCACACTGTGTAAGGGCTTTTGATAGTACTCGGTTGCCTAAGTAATTTCTCGTTCAAACATATAGTCAAATGGTTTAAAATCAAATTGATCGTTTAAAAGTATCACTTTTAACCAACATACTCTACTTTGAGGTACGAAGATAACGGGTGAGGCAAAATATAAAAATAGGAAACTGAAGGTTGATTCAAAAAAATTGGTTACCTTAAAATACAATAAACGAAAACAGCTTTTACAGGTATCCACTCTTTATAGTATTAATACAGATTCCTAAAAGTCTGGTGTATTGTACTCTCTGATTTACCGTGCTTAGAAGCTACCGCTCAACTGTCTCAGGTTAATTTGTCGTTATCATACCAAAATCTGAACTGTATTGGGAACGATAAGAAGTTGGACTAAAACTCACTAGTCATCGACTAAAAACTCGTGTATCACCGCTCTTTTGATATTCCTTTGAAATTCCTAAACAGAAAACATTTTGACTCAGCAAATAAAAAAAACATTTTGCAACTGTTTTTCTTTAACTATACGAATCCCAATTTGTTGTGTCTGTGGATGCGCTATAAAAACCACAGTTTACTTAGTTTTGTGTTTTACTTTAACTTTAAAGTTGACATCTTTATTTTTAATTGTCAGGAAATAAATAACTTTCGTCAGGGTCTGCTGGATATGTTTATGATCGATTTTGTTTGCATCCCATTGGTTTACACACAGGTTGGTTTTTTAATAAACCCTTTCATATAACATCTTCACACACCGCATAAATGGTACATTTGATGTTGTTTCTGTACATTCACTTTTCTAACACTACCATATTTTTTCCACTCTACTTATGTCAGTAACCATTTTGTAAAAAAGTATGATAAATAGTATTTCTATTTCACTTTGTAAGTTTCGAGAATCATAAATGTTCTGTGGAGGCATGGTTGTAGTTTACTTACCGAATGTCTGCAGTATTACACTTTCCCGACGTCTGAAATATTTTATCACAACGAGCTTTGTTCATAATTATGTATTCCATCTAAATAAGAAATAGATACCGTTTTTCCTAAAACACAGTTTATCATTTATGAAGAACACACAAATTACAACAGGGCCTTGACTAAATTCAAATCTGAGCAGTTTGTGGTACTCCATCCAAGGAATGTGTGTGTAACAACAGACCTTAATCCAACGTAATTTTCTTTCATTTTATGACGCCATTCCATAGACTGACAATTCTAACTTTTACATTTTAGGCAGTGTATAATATGATCGCCACTCTAGCCACCAACGTCGGTATTCTAGAAGGGTTCCATTATTCGTATGATAAGCTATACTAGTCTAAAACCACTTTCTGTATTTCCTCAGCTAGTACGTATTCCGCTGCTAACCACCATCCGACCTTCCTCACAATGCTTGTAGCTTAATGGGAATATCGGGTTAATCTTCAAAAACGTATATGTACCAAAGGAGACTCGTTAATTGTAGTCCTAAAAATCAATCGGAAGATTCAAACAACCAATACAAATAAATTAGTATGAGCAATCATTCAGAAAAAGCAGTAGTAAAACTCAGGAAGCCACGAAACGTCTACGGCCAAGTTTCACAAGAATGGAATACGAAAGTGATGTACATACAAACTTACATGTGGCCAAAGATTAACCAGATTAATTTAAACTTCTCATCTGTTGCACAACCACTCCGAAAATTCATACAGCTACCCAGATAAGCGAACTTTTTGACTACGAACATAAATTTTAAGCGCCTCAATTTCGTGGGTATCAATACCAAGGTTGGACTTGGTAATTTCAAATAAGTTGAGGATTGGTTAGGAAGTTAGTATTATATATATATATATATATTTCTGGTAGGTCGGTCACTTTTGTGATTAGTTAATATATGATATAGACTATACTGCAGAAGTAAATTTCAGGTAAATAGACAATGTAGATATATGATTGTCCATATTTTCACTGACATTTATTCTATGTTCATGGTTTATCACCTGATCGCACTTCTCTAGATTAAAAAGCACATTTTATTAGTTATAAACATCAAATTACTTTTTATGTCTTAATAGGTTGTCACATTGGCAGTATACATTTATTTCATAGCCTCACTTGTTGGTCGTCAATTTATAATCGATAGTTCGCGAACAAATTCACAAGATCTCTATTTTCCTTTCTTCATGTTCCTAGAGTTCATAGTGTATATGGGATTGTTAAAGGTAAGCGGTATCATAATTCTGGTCATATACTATAATTACTGTTACATAGAATCAGTTAAGCGGGTTCACTAACTACTTCCTTACGTACTTTTCTTCCTTACTTTCTTTACTCTACCTTACTTAACTAATTACTTACCTACATAGTTACTTGTCACTTTTTTACCTGACACTTTCATTTTCTGTCTTCTTCAGGGGCTGGTATTCTGATTCTTAACGTTCACGTCGCTATCGTTAGTGGGTACAGAGCACTGGATGACATTCATCGTAATCCCCTCCTTTGTTGCAAAGGTTGCTTTGATGATCCTGCATCCATAAGATTCCTATCCTGAAAGTGCTTTGCGTGCTTCTTTGAACAGAATCAGTGGAACTCCTTGTGTGTGCGAAGCATTTTCTTCACGACCGAATCACAACAGCACGTCTCCTGAAGTTACTCTTTCCTGTCGATCTTGCCTCCGATGGGTTTTACTTATTCCAAGCATCACCAGGTTGTATTTTTTTCGTTTACCTGTCTATTTGACTGGTCTTGCCACATTGTGTGGACTTTCTGTGTACCTATGTCAATTGTTGCGCTGGTTTTCAGAAGGGGCATCGGCCTAGAAACTTCCGGAGAGTCTCGGTTTTCACCATAAGGCGTCAAAATGAATGAAAATCCTCCAACTCGGAGAACAGAGTTTAAATGGTTCAAATTGTTTCTTCTGGTTAGCGTTTTTTATGAACGTTTTCTATGGGATGGGGTTGTTGGTCCCTTGCCCAACCCTCCTTTATCCGGACTTGGGACGCGCAGTTATTTATTTATTTATTTGAACACAAATTTTGGTGCAAGGGGGGAACAAAGGTACATCCAGAAAGAATTCTTTCAGAAGTTGCGGCCACTTTTTATGAAGAAAGTAAAAAAAGGTTACAACAGGATCGCCACTGGCTTCTATTCTGAGCCATATCTGATAACGTCTCTAGCCACTGTGTTGCACCATCTCTAGCACCCCAACCAGGGAGTCGTGAAGAACCAACACAAGCCAGCCCTTTGCAGCTTTCTTTCACTCCACGACACCATGTCATACAATAACCACCTCTCCGCTTTTTCCAACCAGTCCCAGAGTCGGCAAATAATGCACGACGTGGAATTCTCTGGGACGACATTCGTAGAACATGTCCAAGCCACTGAAGTCGATGTTTCAAGATGATGAAACCAATTGAACTATCGTCTGTGCGCTCGAACACACGATGCCGAACCTCTTCATTACTGACATGGTGTTACCACTGGATGTCGACAATCCGTCGGAGACAACGATGATCAAACACAGAGATTCGTCTAACATCCTCAACTCGAAGAGGCCAGGTTTCACAAGCATAGGGCAAAACTGCTCTCACCGACGCGTTGTAGATCCGACCTTTTACAGCCAGACTAACGTCAAGAAGGCGCCAAAGATGGCCCAGATTGGAATACACCGCTCTGGCTTTCACCAAACGTGAATCGGTCTCATCACTCACACCACCACTAGCACTTATTCAGCTACCAAGATACACGAACTTCTCGACTACTTCTATCTGCTCACCACCCAGGGTGAGTACAGGATTAAAATCCTCCCAGTCTTGTAGAAGTATTTTGCACTTCGAAGTTGCGAAGCACATACCATACCTACGGACGGATTGCATGGCTTCGGTATTATAGCATAGTAAGACAATATCATCCTGGTTGGGCAGTAATCTATGACAGCTCCAAACGTTGTTTCCCTGTTTAACCAGTTTGTAAATACACTAATATATTGATTAATTTACTCAAGAAATTCACATACGAAAGTATTAGTTTTTCATACATAAAGTAATAAGTGGTTAACTGTAAAGCTAGATATATTCGAAATTGATAGACAGAGACCAGTTAGTTTTTATTATTATTATTATTATTATTATTATTATTATTATTATTGTTATTATTAATGGCTTTATTCAATATTATCTTTTTGGTACAATATAGAATTCTCAGCACAATATAGTTTAGTCTATATGTGAGCTGCTTTCCCTCTTCATACCTAGTTGAGTCACATTTTTCCTTCCGAGAACTAAGGACTTATTTCAGTATGATTTTTCCAGGTATAGTTGTAAAGGCTCTCCTTGGCATAATTCTACTATCCCTTGGAGATACATTGTTATCCAGTGAAACATTCAATAGCCCTTAAATTTAGTTATCACATGCTTTTGCTTGGATCGCTTATAGGCTGACCTCTGTTTCTGACCGATATTAAGTATCGAACAAACGGAAACTAAAATGAAGTGTAATTAGTGATCGTGATTCCATTAACATGACTCATTCTGATTTTGCCATCCAGCACTTATTTTGCATGTAATAAATGGTCTTCTCGCCTGTTGTACATATCTATACTGTTCATTTCAATTATAGCCGTGTTGATTACCGATAACTTTAAGTATATATAGTGATAAGGAAGACAGCAGTTATTACCAGTCACTTGTACCCCCCGATAAAAAACTGTCGGTAAGTCACTGTCTATATAAGTAAATAGGTCTGTTCGAACTACCGGTTTAAAAAAAATTTATGACGTCCCTTCACTTCATTTTGGGTTGTGTTATCAAGTAGGAGTCACTTGAATGGCGAGTTACTATCAGTTTGTCTTTGAGTGATCTTTATCACTATGAAATTAGTTCTTATAAATATTTTGTTAAACCAAAACAGTTAGTGGCTTGACAATTCTAACCGAAAAATAATTTGTAATGGTTTGGATTCTATTCTATATAACCGAACAAAGTTTCCATCACATTACATGGCCCTGAATGCCCTGGTACGGTCGAGGGCGGGGAGAGTCAGCTCTCCCTCTCGAAATGCTCGCACATGGCCGTGCGTATAAAACCACTGCTAGGGAAGTCCCACTCATTGCCTTCTCACAGCGGGGATGTTCTTTACGGAATTAAGAGGACGAAAAGCAGATGCCCGGCACTTTAACCTGGTTGGTGGAAATGGAGATTCCACCTAGGGGACTTGGAAACCCCTGATTCCAAACCAATGGTGCACATGAACTCCAGGATCTTGAGGGAACAAATGGCGTATGAACCAATTATTGGTTACCGGCTACCATGGGACTGCGTTTCCTGATGTTGCTCCACTGCCTTATGGATCAGACCATTGGGTCTAAGGCTCCAGGTGTGCCCACCCCTTAAGAAACCACCTTCTTCGGTCTGAGCACCCAGTCAGTATCACAGTCCACACACAAATCAAGTGACTTGCGTGGCTCATATGTACTCGGTGCCGATTTGTACCAATATTTATATGTTCAAATAAATAAATAAGCAAACGGAGCAGATCACGAATTAAATTTGTCTTGGCCAAAATATAACTTTTCAGTAAACAGCTGTGGCAAATAATCAGTAATCTGCTTTCCTGAATATGGAATCCAAAGCAGAACTGTATGTACCATTAGAGCCGTAGTTGACGTACGTAAAGGAACAACAAAGGTACTTTCTGACCCCTGAAAATTTAGTTGCGTCAAGGTGATTTCTTCTGTGGATTCAGTGAAGAAGCGCCCCTTCTTCATTTCCATTGGATTTTATCTTCATTGTTTTGCGCCAACATGGCCGGTGTGCCAAATTTCCAGATCTCAGAGATGAATTTTATAAGCTATAGACTGCGTAGTTAAGGCCGAGGTAACTTCAGTGACAGTGAAATTTCCTTGCCTTATTTGACTATTATTTTAGATCATGAATGATTGTTAGTTCTTGCATACACACTGCACCCTGGGTTCTCTCATGTCCCTCGTTGCGGTCTGTTGTCACAGGAATAAAAAAACATTTGAAATGAGAAAAGGTAAATGGGAATCAAAAAGGAAATGGTAAGAGTGACGAGATTTCCACGTTAGTCTCTCTCCTATTTAAAACACACGGACAAACAGTGATGTTACGGCTTTTAAAGTGGAAAGATATCTTGTTTGTTTCCAAGACACTATCAGATTGTTGAATCGCCTAGTTAAACACCTAAATGTTTTTTGACATCCGAGTATAAGCTACGGAAAGTTGTACAAAACTTTTACTTTCCACTGGTCTTTTTGAGGTTGCTTCGGGAATATTTTGTAACTGTAGCTTTACCAGGTTCTATTGAACTAGGTTAAAATGAAATATAAAAGTGCCTAATACCTGTTTCAGGGACCGATATAATAGATAATAAGTTATAAGTCTGATAATAAGGCCTTAATGTTATAAATTCATAAATCACCAACAAAATATATCTAACAATCACTTTGATTTTATTCATTAATAATGTATTTATCATGAGGATAAAGGTTTTCCACTCAACCCTCAGCAAAATAATGCATGCTAACTGTCAAATGATCCACAAATTTAACCACCCACTGATTTCTCATTTTCTCATGAACATCATTCAACTTTGTCATAAGCATGCTTCTTGACATAACACTTTCATCATCTAACTTTTCAGGGATTGATCTTGTACAATGAGATTGTCTTGTTGACTTGGAATATTCTGATGATATAGTTCTGTTTTGTGAACACGTTGACAAAATGCAGTCTTGTGACCACCTTGAGCGACAATGCAAGGATTTTTGGGGTGCGGTTCTCTCCCTCCAGATGTAAAATGTTACTTCAGGATTGGCTTATGTCGCCCCCTGAATTAGTGATAGGGAATAAAGTAGTTGGGCATATCGACCACTTCAATTATCTTGGGAATCTCATCAATACCGATGTCTGACGAAATCTCAGCAAGCATTCAGAGGGCTCGATTGACTTTTACCAACCTGTTATGTAGGCGAGATGTTCGTCCGTTTGCTACGCAGCAATTCGCTTCATTCTGCTTAATGGATGTGAAACATGGCTATTAAGTGTTGGGGATATTCGTAGGTTACTTATATTCGATCATAGGTGTTTACAAAGTACTTCCGGTGTATTTTGTGACCACGGAGTAAGCAATACCTGGGTTAGGAGTAGAGTACTAGGTAGAAATGGGAAATCGATTGGTAAGGTAGTAAATCTTCACTAACTGAGGTGGTTGAGGCAGGTGTTATGTATGCTTGACCTCTGCCTACCTCGATAGGTGGTCTTCTGGTGTAAGAGTAGGCTGAAAGCAAGCTAGTGGTGGCCAAACTAAAGTATGCCATCAGTCTATGAAGTCACAAACAATTGGATTTAGCCATTTTAATGGTTGTAGACCACCTGTTGGAGGTCCGCGTGATTATCGTAACCGATGGTAACAGACTTTGGATAACATGGCTGGAAATTGTTTTCAATGGTGCAGGTGTATCCATTTTTTGTCTTCCCTCGGATTCTGAAATCCGTATAACTTCTTCGCTTTCATTTCGCTGATTTATATTTCCTACTTGAGTTATATCTTCGATGCCAATGCTTTCGTATTACGACTGGCACTGTCACTACTTCTGTCATCCTGGAATTTGGCCAAATGATCCAGTAATTTCCCTAACCACTGATTTCCCAGTTTTTCATGAACATTATTATTTCAGACACTGATCTTTTCATTAAAAAAGACGACTAATTTTTATCACTGTTCTAAGTAATTTTCATTATAAATTTAGTCATATAATTACTAAACTTTGTTGTTTATATTTTGTACATAAAATCGAAAATTCTATTGTTATTTTCAAGTCCGAAGGAAATATTCTAAACTCATCTTGTTAGAAAACCTGCATGTGCCTCTATGCCTCAGTAAATAGTGAATCATTTATTTGTTTTTCTTCAATGAGTTTGTTTAGACGCGTTTTTATTTGAACAGAGCAGTAGAAAAAGTGTGTAGTACCCCTTCAGTATCAATAGTGGTAAACTGATCAATTATTTTCTTAACACTTTTGTTCTACATGATTCACTACATTGCTACGGTATGTAAACAATTATGTTGAAAATGTCAATTTTACATGTCTAATGAATACGCTAACTTTTGGTGTGTAATTCCTTTGTTATTTAATTAAACTAACTGTTTTTTCAAGCGTTTTATGATGTTCATTTTCCATGGCATCAATCTGTTTTATGCTTCCTACATCCTGCCATATTTGATCTGCAACATAATTTTTCAACTAAAATAATCTTAACTGCTTGTATTAAGTACTGTCGCGTTATTGTGCAGATTTAGGTTGGTTTTCTATTAAATTTTCTATACAGAAATTAAGAGTTTGTTCCTCTTCTTTTGTAAAGGTTGCCGAAACACTGGTTAATCCTATGGGGGAAAATGACGAAGATATTGATATTAATGAGGTGATAGACTTTAATTGGAAAGTAAGTATTAAATACGAACTGTTTGACTTCATTCAGCTTTTGTGTATTTATGTTATTTGATCAACATGATAACTTTCAATACCGATTACTACGTACTCTTATTTCATCAGCTACGTAGATGGTTATGGTCATCTACAACTAGTCGTAAAGCTAACCTAATGACAGTTAGTCCAGAGTCGATTAATCACGAATGGTTTTATCGTTCTGATGTAAATTATTCGGGAAGTTACTAGATACAGAACATACGACAAAAAAGATTTATTAGTAATTGAGTGTGAACTTTCGATGTGCAATAGTTAGTGTTTAAGAATGCTACTTAACCTTGTTTAGTAACTCTTGTCACTTTCATTTATTTGTTTAAGTGTTCATATTTCTCCCAGAAATATCTTTAATTTAGATGTATGTAGCTCATAATATGTTATACGAATTTGTACTTGGTTTCTTGTTACTTTTTGTTTTATAAGTTTCTTATTTCCCAAAATTCATATATCCGTTCAATCTGTGTTAATATCATGGATTTTTATTCGACAAATACAAATTTAGTGCTAACAAGACATTTTTGATGTTTACCTAGACTGGATGGTGTATTGTTGATGGAATGAAAACAAGCGCTCCAGCTATTGTACGAGATTTCCACTGGCAACAATCCGTCATCGAATTACCCCACACACAGGAATCCAAACGACTAGCTTCTCGCCCATTTAGAGGATCGACATATAATATAAAGTAAAACAGTATTTCTTAAAACATTTCTTTATATATATATATATATATATATATATATATATATATCTTCAAAATGTCAGGAGGCACTGAGCGACGAGAAGCACTATCACAAAGAAACACATCCTCAATGGCATGTTGGGCAAGATTTCAGAAAGGAAGAACAAGACAGCAATCAACAACTGAAAATGAACAGCGAAATACAAGACACAAGTTGAATACACAGAAGCAAACAAGCAGAAATACATGGAAAGACAGAGGAACAGATGGGTGATACACTTAGAGCAACTCCTAAATAAACCAGATCCATTGTAAGCATTTGATGGTATGGATAGGAGAACCTTATGAAACCTTCTTCGACACTATGGTGTACCTGAGGTCGTCAACATCATACGGAATTCGTACGAAGGACTACACTGAAAAGTCGTGCATGGTGGACAGCTGACAGACACATTCCAAGTGAAGATCAGTGTCAGACAAGGCTGCTCACTCTCTCCCCTTCTCTTTCTTCTGGTGGTTGACTGGATTATGGAGACCTCAACAACTGATAGAAAGCACGGACGGCTCAGAGCCAATTAGACGACTTGCACTTCGCAGATGACCTAGCTCTTCTACCCCACACAAACCAACAAATGCAAATAAAGATAACCAGAGTGGCAGAAGTCTCTGGATCAGTAGAGCTCAACGTACACAATGGAAAATCAAGATCCTTAAATACAACACGGAGAACACCAACCCAATCACATTTGAAGGAGAAGCTCTGCGAGAGGTGGAGACTTTCACACATCTGGACAGCATCATCGATGAACAAGAAGGATCTGATGCAGACGTGAAGATGAGGATTGGCAAAGCAAGGGCAGCATTCCTACAGTCGAGGATCACCTGGAATTAAAAACAACCGTCACCCGAGACCGAAGTCATAATCGTCAATACAAACGTCAAGAAATTTCTATTGTGCAGAGCTGAGACTTAGAGAACTACTACAATCAATATGAAAAGTGTACAGGTTTTTATAAACAGCTATCTACGCAAGATATTCGGCGTCCATTGACCATCAGCAAGAACCTACTGTGGCAGGGGACAAACCAGTTCCGACTGAAGAGGAAAGTAGGAAAAGTCACTGGAAGTGGATGGAACACACATTAAAGAAATCATCAAACTGCATTGCGAGGCAAGCACTTGGAATTTCGAAGGGAAAAGAAAAAGAGGAAGACCAAGGTACACATTACGTTGAGAATCGGAAGCAAACATCAAAAGAATGAATAGCAACTGGAAAGTATTGCTCAGGACGGAGTTTGATAGAGAATGGTAGTCGGTTGCGCATGCTCCTCAGCGAGGTTTAACAGGCGTAAGAAAGTAATATTTGTTTGTATATGATTATAAAAAAGTTAAAAAAGCTTCTGTGTTTTCATGATCAGTTTTTGTATAACCTTTTCAACCTGTGTTACTTTATTGCTACGTTCAAATACCTACTATGGTTCTTATTTATCAATGGTTTCATTGTTCTTTGTCTCCATATTGCCTGCATTTATATACCTCTTTTGTGTATCTTGTAGCTTTCCTTTCACTTCTGATATGATCGGATCTGCGTTATCTTTATCACTAATTGGTCATTCACAAGTAAGTTGGAAATTAAATCTGTCATCCATTATCTATATGATGGAAGTTTTATTCAATTACTTTGTTGAAATTTGTTGAGTGAGTTTTGCAATAAGTATTTCTATTTGTTTATATGTTAAAGTTAAATAATAACATAACAAGCTGTATCCATCACTGACAGGTTTTTTGAAGAAACATTTATTAAAAAAGACAGCTGTCAGTTTAACTATCTTCGAAAAAGACGGAGTTATGTTCTGTGATCAGCTCAGAAGATTGTAACAATATGTTGAATACTTCAATAAGGAACTCAGCTAATATCCGGCTACCTTACGATTTCCAAAAATCATGAATATCAAATCGAAATAAGCTTTCGATTAGGGAGAATCAGGTTGTTTTCAGACCATCGCTTAGATGTATCAATCAAATACTCACTCTTCGCAAATGCATACTTACTGGTGGTCTGCTATAGTTACATTTTTGAACTGAAGGCGGATTTGGACTACGTAGACTGAGAGGTTTTGTGGCAGTTTATCGTTGAAAGGTGTACCAAAAGAACACACTCATTCTTCGTGAATTCTATTTTTCGTATGATCTTTTTGTTGTAACGGGTGGATTGCAGTTTAGATGGAGCAGTGTTTTATTGATCGATTCAGTGACACGGAAAACACGTTTGGACGACCTAGAGACCCGATTGGCCCTGCTCCGCTGTCTATCCCAGCCAGTTGAGTCCAGAACGCAAGTCTTAGCCTCCGAGATATGAATCATTATATTTCAGACATACTCTTTATATACCAAACAAAAAAACCAAATCGTACCATAAAATAGAAAACATTTACACAATATTTAACAAGTGAAACAAATATCGACCAATAGGGAGTGTCCCTTTAAAGTCCAAGGTCACCGTTAGACTTAACATGATAATTATTGGTATATTCCTCTGCATACCTAACACTTTTTTGCATCTTCGATACTACCCTTATGATGTTGCCAAAAAATAATGGACATAAAATTTTACTATCGTTATGGTAAACACAATCAACAGTCCTATTTATCCAGTTACCTTTTCGGTTGGCACTATATGACCATCATTTGGGGCTACTATAACACATTTCCCAAATCTTCCAGTTCCTATTAATAACAACTTTTCCTTCGACTGTACACTTCAGGGGAACGTTTCGTTCGTGTAGCCACCTAACTTGAACTTAGCATACAAATACTCACACAACTCGAAACGGCATGTTTTTTACCATGTTGTGGAGTGAAACAGATAAATATACCTATATGTAAAGGATTATTAACTTAAAACTTCTATACAACTTTTCCGTAGAGATTGGCGTTTATATCCAATAAAATCTAATCTTTTACTTGTACATAGTTTCATTTCTTCTAATTTCTTTTAGGATTTAACGACTGCCCGTCATTTAACTCGAAATAGTACCATAAATATTCCTACTAGGTTGATTCCATCTGAGAGCGTTGCTCCCAGCGAAACTGATAATACGTCGAGACTGAATGTTTTGGATGATCATACGGCTATGGATGCTGGGTTTTTAAGTGTTACTCCTAATACTCCCGCAGTAAACCGTCTTCTTCATGAACCAATAGAGGAGGAAGATGAAGAACGTGAAGATGACGATCAGTCTTATAGCAGGTCAAAAACAACGATGATAATATAAATCTTGTAAGCTTACATTAATAAATAAGACCTGATATTTGTGTCATCTTATTAATAAGGTATTTATGTTTTACATGTTTCACTCGAAATCTTGTCTGTAATCTCATGATGTAATTTTTATCTTATTGTGCTTAACTGATCGAATATTTACGTAATATGAACGTTTATGCTATTCAGTATTTAGGTTATGATTACAGAAAAACATACACGTAGCTTATATCTATGGGCTTTCAGCTGTCTAGACATTGTAACAATCCTATTATTTATATTTATTATAGCCAATGGGTTTTTTATCAACCTCATAAATTACGTTCATACCTGATTTCAAATGAAAACATTATACTGACCAACTGTACTCATTGAAAGAATGACAGTGCGTCAGTTGTTTATTCCTGAAATACTTAGTTTAAACACCAGTTCGCTCATGGAAAAAGGATTACTTCCAATCTCTTCTGTATCTAAATACATGTCACAATTCTGGCATAATTAATCATCTGTCAAATACGAGTTTACTGTGCAGTAATTCGTTTTGCCCCACTTTATGGGTGTGAAATATGGCCATTAAGAATATACAACTTTAGTGGGTCACTAGTATCCGATCATGGGTGTCTCAAAGCATTGTTCGTGTGTTTTGGGATCACCGAGCGAGCAGTTCGAAGAATAAGTACAGAGTACTATGTAAAGGTGGCGAATCTGTTGATGAGTTAGTGAATCTTCATTCACTGATGTAGTTGGGACATGGGTTACATATGTATATCCCTCCTCCTCTACGCGCGACATTGTCTGGTGTCAATTCTTGTTATTCACCTTATTATTCCTAAAAAAACGACTTGGATTGAATGCAGATATATTCCAAAATGAAATAGAAAGTCAATTAAGTTATAATCCAGAGTCCTCAGCTCATTCGCTAGCGCTGATTAATTCATTTTCATTGAAAATTAGGATAAGTCACGTGCACATTACCTGGTTGGGGCCCGCGTGATTATCGTCATAAGTGGCTAGAGACTTTTGCTGGCATAGCTGAAAATCGTTCTCAATAGTTCAATTAATATGACGGGTAGTTTGAAATATTTCCCCCTTCATGTATACTACGATAACGAGAATAGTCATTTTATATCAGATCCGGGATTCACGACACAGAATAGGAAATCAGATTATCACTAGATAGTACTTTATTTGACACAGTTACAAATAGCCACACTCAGTGAGTTCGGAGAAGAAATCGATAACAGGGAATTAATTTTATCTCGCCGTGTTAGTGCGGTTCGGCAACTTGAATAGATGCTCATGTGTTTCACATCCCAATTCAGAAGCCTATCATTCAGTACCGTCTCAATTCTATCTTTTAGTGCAAGACAAAAGTTCACATTCGACTCAGTAGTTTAAGCGCTCAGCTTTCAACTGCTAACTAGCAAGTTTAAGTCCCTCTTCAATAAATGTCTTAATAGATCTCTCTAAAAGTACGTAACGTAGGTATATAATTGGTGGTTACTTTGAGAAACAACAAAATATGTTAATTTTCTGTCACTGTGTTAATCTAAGACATGCGAACTTAGATCGATACATACGCCAGGATCTGCATTGATAAATGACTGGTTTGGTTCCCTCTTTATTTTAAATTCGGAATCGGAGAGAAACAAATCGTCCTTATCTGATAGTTATTGGTAGATATCGTACTTGAGGTAATATTTATCACAGTATGAAGTACGCTAAGAAGCAAGCAGTTATTTTATTTCCAGTAGTTAATCCGCATCCACGATGTCCGGCTTACATGTTAGTGTTTTCTGTAGATTTTTTTTATTACACACCTGTTGATGTTTTTCATAATTGCAACAGCCTTCAGTCAACCTACACTCCATAGTTATAACATATATTATACAGAGATTAGTAATGCATTTTGTATATCCCTTTATTAGTAAATGTAAAGTAAATTTGCTTTTCGATTAAGGACAAGTGACGAACTGATATTCCGGCTTTTTTTATCGTTGAAGCGAGTCCTGTTGATCGCTCTCTTAAAACGTATTAGTTACGCCGTTCATTTCACACAATTATACACGAGGTATTTTTGTCACAAACACTAATTATTCATTAGCTAGCATTGTTTGGTTTGCTCGTTACTGACGTTTGTCCTATTACTGTAAGTATTTTTGTATTTTTGTTTATAAACTCTTATAGCAAAAATGTTTTTGTCTATTCGTTTTCAGTCCTCTAAAAAAGATATTTTGCATGTTTAGGAAATTGTACACTTTGTCTACGAGAGGGGGGATATGATATTTATTGTATTCGGGTTTTCTTCATATTTATGGCAAGTTTATTATTAATCAGGATGCTGACCAACTGCGCATTCATATAGTCCATGTTTTATATCAATTTCAATTCTGACATTTGCTCATAAAGTTGAATTTTCTGCAACATACTCAATGTTCTCAGCTAAGATATAGATATCAGGCTTTAACAGCCTTAATTCGAATACACAGATACTTAATTAGAATGAATCACCTCTACACAGCTTATGCATGTGTGTTTCTGAAAGCTTTGCTGATCACATCACTAAATCCACAAAAGAAACAATCAAATGACTTGACTAATTCTCAAAATGCACGTAACAATACATGGATTACCTTTTTAGAACCGATTTAGACTAGTGAGGTGAATATCAATTAAATGTGCAAACGTGATAAATTTCAGAAAGCATTTGTATTCATACCTAATTAATTCGATTCGCATAAGGTAGATAAGATTCATTCTGTGATCTATCTTCTTAAAATCACAAAATAACGTTTACTTTTTTCAGGTACGATTGTATTTGACAATAGTACATGAGTTGTGTCCAAATGTGACCTCAAATTTACTACTTATGAATAGAATATATTTTGTAGTATAATAATGGAATCCTCTGATAGTATTCAGAGCGCAAGGATGTATTACCTTATAATTTATGTTCTCGAAGTATTATAAGTTTCTCTGAATGCAAGGTTTATGCTGTAACTTTCTCGAAGTGAAAAAGACTCGTTCAAATGAAGAACATTGTATATGCTAATTATATTAGCATATATCTATCTATTCAGTAACTCAGAGTACATATTTAGGCAGCAGAATAAGATAACACGAAATTATTATGCAAATTCATCAGAGTCAATTAGTCGTGTTTGCAACGAAATGGTAAAGCAATAGCATTAGTTTCTTATATGTTTTACTAACCAGAAAATCAGATGGAATGCTGAGAACTGACCTACTTAGGCTAATTTACTTATTTTTAGAGTCTTTTCCCATTGCAATCAAAAGGAAATTAAGTGCTTAGTTAATTGTTTTAAAGATGTCATTGAGATAGAAGTTAAGACTATATATTTCAAAACAATACATACCTGAAGGAAAAACTAGTATGTGTTGGCAGCGACAAGAAGCCTTTTTTTTAAACGCACAGTGAAATCGCGAGGTCTAAGATACGCGTTGAGAAAAGCATTCAATTCTGTAAGGCGGCTCACTCGTTTATTTATTCAATTTGAATTTAGTAAAATGTAGATATAGATAATATATATTTTACTTATATTTCAAAAAGCAGAAAAGTTTTATCGCTACTCAGTGGAATATAACAAAAATTTATTTATTATCAACTCTTTACCCTATGCTCAATTCATTTGAAACTATCAAGCCCAACCTTGGTAAGGATACCTATTAGATAGGGATGTTTTGTCATCTCGATATGCATATATCAGTCCAACTGTCCTTCTGGATATCTAGTGAGAGCAGTCCATCACCCCTCACAGTTCTGTGCATGACATAGCACAGTAAGGTGCACTACAATGCACTCTTAGTCAATACTGTTCATCACATTCCGTGTAATATTCGGAGTTTGATGTCAAATCCTAATTAGCTTTCCCTATCTTCAGATGTTGGCTCCTGTACAACGAATGTCATAGGAATGTTTGGATAACGTTTGCACGATTTTTCATCTTTTTTGCTATGTAACGATAACAGATTGTTAATCCAAAGTTAGACCCACATTTACTGACTTTCGTCTTGATTATTACTACATGATTTTGAGTAGCTACACTGTTCCTCCATCGTTATTCAATCGTAATCATTACCGATTACTAAGTGGTCTCGAAGTACGAACTCCCACCCACTTGCTTTGCACCTTCATTTTCATTGTATCAGTTCCTTCCTAGTTATTATGTTCATCTTTTGATATTGATTTTATAGTCAAAAGTAAATGTGTATTGGTGTCGGATCATGATGAAGAGCTAAGTAAAAAAACTCCGAAATCGTAATTTCTATTTCCAAGATTTAAAGAAAAATAACCCACAATCCCGTAGTATTTAGTTATAGCATCAAAAGTGTAGCCCATGCTAAGTAGGATCAGTACTCAATTCGCCTGACAATGATTACCCAATTTTTTCCGAATAAAAACTTCAATTACTACAAGGCCATATTGCCACCAAAACCAGAAAATGACGATCATGTTGATCAGAAAACTTGACAAAACCTAAATGAGACATCACAAATAAAAGAGTGAGCGTATTTCTTGAATTCTGAAACGAGCGGTATTTTTTGGCAAGTATCCACTTCCCGAAACATCTTAACCCCTGAGTATCAGACACCTGCCGGTCCATAACCATTAGCCCGGTAAGATTATACAGCTTTTCGAAAAGCATCGTGATACATTCTTCCCACGCTAAACAGGGATGCGAAATATCTACACGTGTATTTACATTACAGGAGGCGACAATACTAGTTATTTTATATGGACGCGGCCAAATATCTGGTACACTGAACATCTCTTTCGTTGAGTTTTTTTTAGGATAGCTTCAAAGGCTAGTCGGTAAGCTTACAACGGTTTGAATGAGACATTATTCACATGCGATAGGGGAATTCTTGTTATTCATCTAATAATAGCCTATAATTAAATATGATTGACCGTAGGTAGGATTATGCTTCAACATTAAGAGAATTTAAACAGCTTTTAGACTTATTAAGGTTTCTCTTATTTTTAAAGGCCAATCAGA